TTCTAACCCCTCCGGGCTTTAAACTGTTCCGTAATGTAGTTGTGTGAAGGACAAAACGTAGGTTTCGTCGTAGAGTATCGGAGACGAAAATGGAGTTTTGAAATTCACACAACTCCTCGCCGCCAGGCGGGTCCCGTAAGGAACGGGACCGAGCGACGCGGTCGCGTAGCGGCCAGGCCGCGTGGGAGGGGCGAGAGACCCCTCCGCATTCCGGCTTTCGTTTTCGTAGCGCCCAACCCTCCCGCCCTACGAAAACAAATAGTCATAAAACCTATTAGCATGTTTCAGATCCTCTCCCAGCTTCGAGCTTCGCAGCAGCCTCTTCGCCCGGCCGAAGAAAGAGGGCTGGGAGAGGTAGCCCAGGTCATACAAACTTGTATCGACCAGTCGGTGGCGCCTGGGACTTTGAGAATATATAAAAGAGTCAAGTCCCGCTTCCTTAAGTTCAGCAAGTCCTTAAGGGTTCCGGCGTCGGAGCTTGCCAAGCTTCGGAATATCTTTATAGCGCAACTTATACAGGAGGGCCAGGACCGGTCTTTGGGATATCATGTATCCGCGCTTTCCCATTTTTTTGGGCCCCTCCCGGAGGATGACGCTGATATCCTCAAAGCGTTACTTAGAGCGGCTGCCAGATCCAGGGCCCCGTCAAACATCGCATCAAGGCCTCTAAGGAGGACGACATAATAGAGCTTGGCCTTAACAACAGCTCCCCGGCATATGTCAGCGCCGCAACTAGCGTCATGTTGGCTTTTTCCGCGCTTTTGCGAGTCGGAGAGGTCAGACAGCTCCGATTCCAGGGACTTCCTGTACCAAGGGGACGGGATCTGGCATATATTTATCAGCAGGTCCAAAACTGACCAGCAAGGGCAAGGGGAAACAGTGGCAGCCGAAATGGGGCCTCCAAGAGACCAAGCTGTGGCAGACCTTCTACCGCTTAAAGAGACCGCTGCTACCCCATAAGTTTCTCTTCAGCAGCGAAGCAGAAAACCCCCTTCCAGGGATTATGTGGCCAAAAATATTAAGAAAATCGTTAAGGCCGCAGGTTTACAGCACAAAAATTGACCTCTCATTCATTTAGAGGGGGCGCTGCCACGCACGCCATTCGGCGGGGGGGATTCAGGCAAAATAATGCTAGCGGGTCGGTGGAAATCCTTCCAAGGGTTCAAAAATTATGTAGAACCTTCCCCCCTGTAGACCCGGGGAACGACTCTTTATATGTTCCAGAGTCGTCGACAGAAAGGCAGAAACGCAGCAGGGAATCTCCCAATCATGGAAGGAATCTCGAGGAGCGGATCGGAGGCAGTCCAGAGTCGGCCAATTGGTGTTATATTCATGTGTCATGTTACATTGTTTCGGTTTTCGTTGTGGTTCTGCTGCTATTATTGGTCTTCACCTAGAACCCACTTGTTTTTCTTTTTTCCATGAGCTATTTGTTAACATTGTGTACAGTGGTGTTTTCGCCGTATAGGCCAGAATGTCTTTTATATTGGCCCATAAGGGCTCTCTGTATTTTGTACAGCGTTACGTCGTTCATTATAAGGGCCGAAAGGTCCTCCATCGTAGCCCAGAAGGGCTCTCCACATTGTGTACAGGGTTATGTCGCTTATTTGTTCGTAGCCAGATATTCGTTGTCCTCTACTTTGTATATAGCAGTGACCGGCTCAAGTTGGTTCATTGCAATGTTTGCTCCTAGAGCGTTGTTATGCATACCGTTTCTAGGTCTCATCGTCGTTCGGTTAAGTTTTCATCTCAGGTAATGGGTAGGACTGTTGGTTTTCTGTTTTTTTGCCAGCCACCGCATAAGCATATTACGGGAGACGTAAGGTCCATTCCCTGATAAGATACTCATCGGTATAATTTATCCCTGTTTCTTCGCTTATATCTCCTTTATACAATTTCTCAGGCTCACTCGCACAGAGCAGTGCGCCACATGTTTACCTACGATGACGTAGCTGTTAATTGTTTCCTAACAACAGTCTAAGGTATTTATGCACTATTGTTTTAAATGGAGGGAGTCAGAAGCCCCCTTGTTGTTTTTCTGTACGTACATATTTGTTTCCTTGTATGGAGGCGGAGTCAGAAGCCCCTCGTTGTTTTTCTGTACGTACATATTTGTTTCCTTGTATGGAACGGTCATTCGTGGACCGAATTGCGACACGAACGTAAAACGATAAAGCCTTATTTTCCGTAATGTAGTTGTGTGAAGGACAAAACGTAGGTTTCGTCGTAGAGTATCGGAGACGAAATATTAGGTTGTCCCATAAGTTCGTGTCCACTTTTTTGCACCTCATGCCAAAACTACATTTAGCGATTTCTGAATATGACAAGTAGGCTACGAAAGCCCACTTCGTGGAGTAACCTATACGAACCATGCCCACCTTAGCTGCTTTCTTCGAACTTCAAAATCGAAAACGAAGAGAGCCATGTTTTTCACACTTTGATTTATGAACTTCTGCTGAGCCACAAATCGGTCGAACCCAGGAGTTACATTTGCTTAGTGATACACACTTTGTCATCGCTTCTCCACGCAGCATCAGAGTGGTAAAATCTGCTTTGCTCTGGAGACTAAGCCTGCAGAATATCGTGACCCGTGAAGGCAACCCTGTTCGATCTAGATCAATTAGAAGGGGTGAAAGGTCGTCAAATAGAGCAAAACGTGTTGGCCCACGTATGGGAGCAAATCTCGAAGAAGCCACCGAGAACTTCTCCACAGCTTCGGCCTTGTAACAGCCTAGGTCTCCTTTAATCAAGGCTTGAAGCTGGTCAGAAAACTCCAACTATTACGCCCAAAATTCAATAAAGTCCGCTCCACGACAACCGAGACCACGTGTTTCGAAAATGGCACGGCTCTGGATTTCGAAGCTAGTTGAGAAGTGCAACCAGATCCATCGTACAGCGGTGATCAGCCTCCTTCCAAAGGCCAACTATTCTCTTGCTAAGAATCATCTTACTGACGAAAAATACGATTCAAAAAAGGAGCTCGAAATCGACCTCACTGCCTTTTCCAGCTTGAAACTGCCGACGTTCTGGGAGCACGGCGTCGACACTGGTGGATCGTTGGCAACAAGGCGAGCGGAACCTATTGTGACTTAAAAGAAGGGTCTTTCAGGTCGTGGAGCGCTTTTCCGAAACGGTTTCAAAACAGTGGTGAAGAAATGGTCCAAAGTTCAATCCGCCGTGGTGACAAATTTTTGCAATCCATGTTGGAGCCTCCAAATTGTCGCCAAATTACGAGGATGACATGTTAATCGACGCTGGTGCCATTTGGACACAATTTGGAGGCGCCAACATAAATTGCAAAAATTAGACATCACGGAGGATCGAACTTTGGACCATCTCTTCTCCACTATTCTGACCTTCCTAGAAGCGTTCAGGAAAAATGGACCATGGTTTTGTGTTCCTCGCATGAGCTCTACAAAGTGCAGGAAATCCATTTTGGAAAAGCGCTCCATGTCCTGAAAGACCTCCCTTGTTAGAGCGTAAATTAATATTGCTCATACAAACACATTTGTGCTTATATTTCAAAGGTGGGACTGACTTATTCATACAAGTAGGAAACCCTAGGTTCTGAGCCAGGTGCTGCGGGAAGCAGAAGGAACCCTGTAGGAATCCATAATCCCGTCTGACTGCCTGAAGGTGAATAGGAGAGGTATTGGGGCATGATGAAGACTTCGAACAGAAAGATTCGGGGCGATGGAAGCTCCTAAACAGCGCCCAACATACCGATAGCAAAGGGACGAGTGTCGTCTGCGCACTACCGCTTTCCTCCTTCTCCATCCAACTCATCCTAGGAAGTGTGAGCGACTATTACCTATAAGCGACCCAGGGTGTAAGGCGCATTCTGCCACAACAGCTCTACTGCAGATTGAAGCGCTTCAAGAACAGACGCAAAAACGGAGGTTCTCTGAATAGGTGTCCCATCTTTTTTGTGATTCTTGCTCAAAAACGTAAAGGCAAACTCCGGGATTGAACAGGTGCTATCAGCGCTTTGTAGTGATAGCTTAGCTGCGGAACGACCTGAAAGTGGAAAGGAAAGCAAGAGAAATCTTTGGGAACGCTGAATTAAGGCCTTAACCTTCAATAGGGTCGGATGTGGTACGATGGCGAGAAAGGGCGGTCAAAGAAGACAAAATACGCGAGAGAGCACGTCGTTTGAGAGAGCACGCTGATCTCTACATCAATGCACGCTGATCTCACCACCTCTCGCGGTGGGTGGGAAGCGTTCGATGGTTGGGGCCCGTAAGGATTAGCGCCCTAACCGCGCAGATTTTTGCGACGAAGCTGGAGTGATCTAGGTAGTACGGGCCTTACAATTTCCCCCGTGGAACCTAGCTGTCAGACGTGCCAGCGTTTTTAGCCGTTTGTGGTTGCGCAAATAAAATGGAAAGTAAGGGTCTCGCCATACAAATTTAGGGCGTTTTCCTTATTTCTTCCTTCACCACTTCATTGACCACCCTCAATTTACAAAAGCAACCTACTTCTTGCGCCCGCTTTCAAGTCCGTAGTGCTAGTGATTAGGTGTTACCTGTTCGCCAGTGCCCTGCATAGCTGTCTTCGGTACTCTCGTGTTGAACTGCTCCGTTCGCATTTCCTTGCCAGGTTCAATTTCCATAACCAATACACGAAGATTTGTGCCACCCAAGTCTAGAGCGACGAATTTACCACATTCTGGAAACATTGTTCAATAATATCGGCCTGCTAATCTCATGACACATTGTAATTTACTTTTTCATAACTACAGAGTAAAAAACATTTGAAAACATAAAACTATATATTATTGTATTAACTGATGGTTAACCCACCTGTACCATCCGGCAATTCTGGCACGAACGACGGTAGCATTGCAATAGTGGACATCTAAAGATAGTCCTAACTTTCCTCTATGTTATCTTTTGTCCTGTAGGTGGAGTACTTGAGAAAGTGATGCAAGGCTTTTCATAAAGGATCAATAAGCGATCGTACTAACTACAAGGACCCAAGTATGTCTGGGTATTTGTGTATGTCTGTATGTGTACCCAACCAGAAATTAGGGAGCAGTGCCCTTCAGGTCACCATGGCCATTCAGTATCCCTACTATATATAATGCGCTAAGTCCCTACTATATACTTAGGTACCGGATATCTTAGTGTCGTTTTTTCACCGCGAGTTTCGGACCACCAATATTTTAATTCAAAATCCAGTGAGTGAAACGGCATATCCATCGAATGACTCATTAGCCCTTTCCCATTTACCAGTATGAGTGAAAACACTTCGTATTTCGCCATTTCTGTTCATCTTTCTTTTTCTCTCTCCTTTAGCCGGTTTAGTTCCCTCGCGCTCCATGCAAGCTCGGCATTAGTGGTCTCGCTGTTTCTTTATCGCAGTCGCTCGCACTCGGCTCTGTGGTGTGGGCTATTTCTTTTCTGCCTGTTTTGGCAGAACTTCTTGAAAGGCTGGACGTGATTTTTTCACTTAGGTTACTGCTTCTTTCGATTACTTCTCCAGCCTCTTTTCTTTGGAGGGGCCACTGCGCCCAATGTCCTTCGCTTTTTGCCTGCGCTTTTCGAACTTCCAGTTCCATTGCTTTTCCTTGGATGGGGGTCTGGTCCTGGAGTGCTCCCGACGCCTTTAGCCACTTGCCCATACGCATCGCAGACCGCTGTGTTTTTCTACGTTCATTCTTTTTGTCCAGGCTCGAACAAAATTAGACCCTACCGGACAAACCTCTCTCGCACCTTTAGTTGGACAGGGGCAGTCTGCATGACCGCTCTGACCTCCTCGTTTCTGACCCTGTCCAGTCGCGTCCAGCCGCAGGCCCATCTCAGCATCCTCATCTCAGCGGAGTGAAGCTGCTTTTCTTGATCCGTAAACGGGTTTCTTGGTTCAGGGCGCTAGCCTACTGCGCAGCCCGACGATAGAGCACGGCTCGAAGGGCACCTTATTACTGTTCGGTACACCTTTTCCTCATTCTCAGTTGTTCTGGACGCCTTCGGATTCGGCAGAGGATCCCATGGTGGACTCCCTCACGTCATCCAGCCGCACTTGATTTCGGCCGTTTACTGCTTGCATTCCAACATTCCGTCCAGCTTGCTAGATCGCTCCCTCGTGAGGGTATCTGTGTACCTTCACTGCTTTCAGGTGGATATCTGCAATTTGCGGCGCCATTTGTACGATTTTTGACGACCTCCAATCCCTCTTTTCCAAAGAATGCCATCAGGAACTTGGTCTTCCGGACATTCAGCCGAAGCCCACCTTCTGCCAGCGCTTCCTGCCATTTCTGCACCTTGCCCCTAGTCCTGTAGTTCTTCTCTGCTTTCCGCTATCAGGGCGATGTCGTCAGCGTAGAGGATGTCTTTAATGGTCCTTCCATGAGGCCCCTCACCATGACATCTAGTGTAAGGAGGAAGAGGAACGGGCTCAGAGCTGACCCTTGGTGAACCCCAACCGTGATGTCCACTTCCTTCGTTAGGCCGTGTGGGGTGCGGATAGCTGCCTTCGCCCATTGTACATGTCCTTCACCAGAGAGATCAGGTAATAACTGGACACCGTTTCCAGAGCTCTCCTGAAGCGCTCTGTCACAGTAGCTGTTTTCGAGGTAGTTCGGGACTTTTTTTTGCGAGAACGCGCTTTCCTCCAGTTCAACCGAGACGCTAAGGCTTTATAGAGGTCAGCATGTGCGTCCCTACACTGACTTGTTCGGCTCTCCTCGGCTACTTTGCATTTCTTGTCCTGCACCAGATTTGATTATGAAAGATGGGCCTACCACCGTTAGTCACGACGCCTATTAGGCAATGAACACCGAACTGCTCTGCACTGAGAGATCGGACCGTCTCTCCGGCAGTTTCGATCGATCAGTGCTCGCTTACAAGCTTCATTTGTCATGAGCGCGTCAGCTTGAGATGCCGCTGGCGTAGTATTGTTAGTCATTCCTACATGTATTCGCGTCACCCTTCTGCTTGAAGATGGGGACGATGATAGTACTTGTTCTCCAGGCATCCGGCATCCTCCCTTCGGTGGTTACCGTGTTCAGGAATTGGGTAAGCCATCCGATCCCATACTCTCCGAGCGCCTTCCATGCCTCGATTGGCACCTTATCTGGACCCACCGCCTTTCCAACCTTCATCTTCCTTAGTTCTTGACGAACCTCATCCTCTGTCCATAGTGAGATAGGGCCAGCCGTCGCCTCTGCTTGCGAGCTGTCTTTGTGGGGGTACTCCTCGTTCAGGAGCGCTTGTAGTACTCCTCCCACCTCCTCCTGACTTCAGTTGGCTTCCTCAGGATGGCACCGTTACTGCTCTTCACGCTCTTCACCACCCTAATGTCTTGGGTAGCCCGATGCCGGGCTTTGGCCAGTCTGAAGACGAACTTTTCTGCGTTTCTGCTCTTCCAACTTCTCGTACAAGGCGTCCATTTCCGTGTTCTTCGCCTTGGCGACGGCAGCCTTAGCGAGCCTCTTGCAACTCTTGTAGGCAGCGAGGTCTTCGGGCTCCGGGTCTTCTGCCAGCGCTTGTATGCTTCCTTCTTCTGCTTCACGACTCGCTGGACCTCCTCGTTCCAGAACCACGCTGCCTTGTCTCCTCTGAATCCACCTCGCGTCTCGCCCAGTACCTCCTTGGCGCATCGTAGGATGATCTCAGCTGCATGCCCCAAGTCTGCTGCACTGGTCCCTCAGGATCTGGGAGACCAACTTCCATTATCCTTCGTTTGAGGTCGCTCTTCTCTGCGGTGCAACTTCCACCACCGGATTCTCCTCTCGGTTCTTACCCTTGTCTTCTTTGGGAAGGTCTATGGCTATGTCTGCCAGGAGGGGCCTGTGCTGAGGAGCCAGGTCTTCGCCAGGAATTACCTTGATATCCTTCACAGTTTTGAGGGATGATCTTCTTACCAGCACATGGTCGATTTCCGTGTGTCTCCCTCCACTGCTGTAGGTGACCTTCTGAGTCTCCCTTTTCGCGAAGAACGTGCTGCAGATTGCCAGATCGTGGGCCGTAGCCAGGTCCAGGACCCTCTCTCCCTCGGCGTTCCTCACTCCTATTCCTCTACCTCCGTGCACCCTTTCAAGACCTCTTCTGTCGCTGCCGACGTGCCCATTCAGATCACCTGCTATGGTCAAGTAATCGCTTTCCGGGATCGATCTGATGGCTTCGTCAAGCCTTAGGTAGAACTCGTCCTTCTCACTCTCGGGGCATCCGGTCTGCGGAGCGTACACTGATAGTATTGACCAGTACCCCTCCTTCGTGTCTATCCTTACAGCCATGATCCGATCGCTGATCCTGTTCACAGCGGAGACATAGTCCTTGAGCGACTCCGCTACCGCTTAGGGGGCAGGGATAGCCGAGTGGTTAAGAGGTTAGACTCATGTCTGCACCTCTGAAAAACCGCGAGTTCGATCCCTGCCGAGGTTAAACCATGCCTTGCAAAAATTGCAAAAATGGTTCTAGTACCAGCGTCAGGCCCAGGTTGACAGGCCGGCTGATGAATACCCCAGTCACACCAAACCATGTCTAAAAGTCGTCAAAAATCAGTGTAAATATCAGTGAAGAAACCTCGTACGATTAAAGCTAGGAATTTTTTGAGTCGAAAAAGAGAGGTAGGTCGGTTTTGACATCATCTGACAAATCATCCCTCTCACTTGCTAAAAAGGTTAGGCCTGGACAAAAGAAGTATACAGTTAGTTAGAGTAGGGTCTGCACTGTATGGTGGAAAAGTTAAAAACTTACCAGCTCTTACTGCAGGTCAATTTATTCTTGCGAGTCGCTGCTTTGGCCACGTGGGGGGACAAAAACGCAGCCCTTCTTGAGCCAACAAAGGGAGAACGGGCCCCTGCCCACAGTGGTCGCGGTGTGAGCAGGCAGTGGATGAGAGCACATTTATTAGAATTTCTTGTGCAATCAACTTCGTTGAAGCGTTTGTGCATCATCGATCAGTCACTGCTGAGGTGTCCTACCATTTCAGCACAAGACTGGTGCAGCCCCGTCTTCGACTGATTTAACTAGGGCCACCTTTTTGACGACGATTGCGGGCATCATTCAAAGACCTCACTCTCGGTGAATTAAATCTCGCTCGAAAGACCATGAGCATTTTAAATGGTAGTACTCCCTCCAACAAATGCAATGCTGGTTTGGTGGGCGGAAGTTGTAGCTCTCAGCAAGAATTTTGAAGCATTTGGTACACACATGCGAATTTGCACACTGGACCCAGGAATTTTCAAAAAAAAGTATAAAATTTGGGGGAAAGTTAAATTGTGAACCAACAATAGAAAACAATAAGCAACATATTTCGCAGTATTAATGAGCAAAAGGACCTGTCTGGATATTGATTGGTTCTAAATGGAGAAGCGACTGTCCGCACACTACATCTCTGGCAACTTCAGATGAAAGCGACACTAAGACTAATCCGGTACCTAATATATAATGCGCTAAGTCTGTCTGTCTGTCTGTCTGTCTGTCACGAAATTCCGTATTAAGCGGACAACAACCTACTGGGTCCAGGTCATGTTTGGGATGGGTGTACCATATCTCGAGAAGTAAAAAACATACATTACCTAAGCGGAGCCCCGCCCACAGTGGGCGTGGCGTGCGTCGAAATGAGTGGTACTGAGGACCATGATTTCAAATTCAGTCACAAAACAGCCTCGAGACCGGGACAAAAGTGGGCATAGGTGTGGGTTGGTAAGCCAGATTGAACTGAGGAGACCCACCCTCGGTGGGCGGGGCGTTCGTAATAACTTCGTATAGCATACATTATACGAAGTATGTTCTTAAAATAGAAAATGGGTGCTCAGTGAAAATATTCATAACTCGGTTAAGAGGAAGCCTACAGACCAGAAACGAAATTAGTGCAGGGGAGCAATGCCTAAGGTATTTCCACCACGCATGATGTGAACGGAGGCCCGCCCACAATGGGCGGAGCGTGTCGTGAAGCGGACAGCGTTTTCTACAAGAGCTCATAAATCGGCTCCGAGATGACTTAGAGACCGGAAAACAACGGATAGAGGTCAGGAGGGGAGGGGAAGCTAAATGTCAGGGATGGGCGTGGCTTACATCAAAGTGGGCGGAGTTTGCAATTAGGCTTATAACTCGGTTCCTAGGAGTCCCGGAGTCAGTCCACGAAGTTATACGAAAAGCGTATGAGGGTTGGCAGAGGGAAAGGGGTCAACCGTTGTTGGCGGGCGGAGCATGCACCAAAGTGGGCGGGGTTTGCCACGGTACTTCATAACTCGGTTCCAATAAGTTCCAGAGATGGGAGAAAAGTAGAAAAAGGTTTGGGGAAGAGATGATAGCCGACTGATATCAGTGGGCGACCCACGCACCAAAGTGGGCGGGGTTTGCCACAAAGATACGTAGCTCGATTTCGTCCCCTACAAGACCTCATAATTCTGCTCCGAGACGACTTAGAGACCTGAAAAAAATACGCCAGAGGTGAAAGTAGGAGTAGAGGTTGAATGTGAACGCTGGGCGTGGCACACCCGGATGTGGGCGGAGTTTGCCACCGCTCCTCATAACTCGGTTCCTAGAAGTTCCGGCGACCGGGGAAAATGTGCATAAGTATTGAGGTATGGAGTAGGGTTGAATGCCATTGTTGGGCTAAGCATGCACCAAAGTGGGCGGGGTCTGCCTCAGAAATTCGTCGTGACTCATAACGCCATTTACAAGACCTCATAATTCGGCTCCGAGATGACTTAGAGACCTGAAAAAAAATACGCCAGAGGTGAAAGTAGGAGTAGAGGTTGAATGTGAACGCTGGGCGTGGCACACCCGGATGTGGGCGGAGTTTGCGGCGTAAGTAAGATGTACCGAGCAGAAAGCTAAAATCAAGACAAAAATACTGATGGGCCCGATTTTACCGCTGCAGCCCCGTCTCATGCACGCGAATGGTATCTTTGGTAATGCGCAGCCAACACTGGGCATTGTGTACATATTAGCTGACACCTCCTTAGTGCATCTTAAACCGCTGATTCAAAATTCTGCCGCCCACAAGCTATGACTACCAGGCAACTCCTAGTCCCAGCACTTGAGTCGCAACCGAATTATAGAAGTCAAAAAGTGCAGTGGAGCAGTGCGGCTTTTAAGCAAGGACTTGTGGGATCGGTTCCTCTACTGGTTTACTCCATTGCTTTTGTGCGCAGTACCTCCGAAATGGCTCTTCTTTGTGCTCCTTCATCGGTGCTCGCCTATAATAACTCGTAGATAAAGTTAACACGTTGACGACAGCGTGACGCGGTAACGCGTCCCACCCAAGTCATCCCTTTTTCTTGCGCTTGTGCGACTTATTCTTAAGGTCATGTATTGCCTTATCAATCAAAACACTATGCTTGTTGGCATGATGGCGGCTATCGGGGTTAACACGTCCGAACAACGTCGTTCTTTACCGTCGCTCATCCATGGTCGAAAATGAAAGGGCAATCAAAGGGGTACTATTTTGCTTATTTTTGACGGATTTCTTTGCTTTTTTCGCCATTGGCGTACTATTGAGACCCCCACGTCCCCTCTAAACCCCTTGAGATCTATCGTAATCGCTTCCTTTAACCCATTCGTGACAATGTCAGCCACCGGTGGCTGACAAAGCTCTCACTCGGGACAATGGTATTACTGTGGCTGCAGGGCTTGAAATGGAATTTGGAAAGTTTTCTTCCATGGAAAGAATCTTCATACCCTCGCTCATCTACGCCAGCCCTGGGCAGAGGAAATCTCCCTCCACTCGAATTTTATTGAAGAAAAATCTCCTGACGCTGCTGCTATTGCGCAATCCCGCGCGGTCGCGAATGGGTTAAAAACCACATGGCTCACAGAAAGGCAAATATTCTTTAGTTTGGCAGACTTTTCCAGACCTTACGGATATGTCTGTTCAGTTCATTCCTCGTTTTCTTTTCAATAACGTAGACATGTTGATAAAAAGGAATAACAGAAGTGAATACAAACTATGGGAAGATATGTGTTTTTACTGAAACAACCACGTCCAAATTAATTTTGGAACCACTAAAGGGAAATAAGTAAAATTTCCCTTTTCATGGCCTTAACACGTCATTTCGGTCAAACTTCCATTACTGTAACTCCTGATAAGCTAGACAGATCGAACATCATTGAAAACATTTCATCGCATCTAAGTATTGCGGATTTACAACTCAAAATCCATGGATTTGGTGTGCGGCGGCTGCGCTCGCAAAATCGCTCTTGTCCCACGCGGTGCAAAAGCACAAAACGCGCGATGTCGTCAACGTGTTAAGATAAAGCCAGGGCATCCTTTGCTGATGGATGCCGGCAGTGTCTATAACGCCCAAATCAGGCGCTTTCGGGTCAAACAGGTAGTATATTAGTGTCGAAGGTTGAATTCACCTTCCACTAGCATAGGTGGAACCCCAACTCATATGTATGCCTCTAAAGGATGGTATTAGTCGAGCTTCGATGTATAGGAATGCAATTGAATTTAATAGGGTTAAAGTGATGCAGCGGCAAGTAGAGCTGCACTAAACATCGCTAACATAGCTAGCAATCACATCCCAATCGAAGTGTCGCCAAGCTGACCATGCCTTTCATCACCGGGTTTCGGCTAGTTGTTGCCAAGCCCATTTGTTGCGAAAGAAGATAAGACGCATGCTATAATAGATATCTCGCAACCATAACCTTGGCCTAACGTGCGTCAAAGATCCACTTCGCTTCATCTTCAATTTCAATTCTCTTCTATCCTTTTCACCATCTGTCGTGACTTCGTACGACTCATTCAACCAATGCTGTCCAGTCAATCTCAAGGAGCAACGTCAGGTCCACCGCATTGGGGTCCCATCGCGAGCTGATACCGTATCAAGCAAGAGATCATCGATACCAGCGGCCTAAAATTGGACTAGCCAGTCTCGTCGACATGTCTCCCGCCTGAGCGGTCGTTTCGCTCTCCCCACGTCTTTCTCAATCTGTACTGCTGCCTGCCTACTCGAAGACGATTGCGGCCGTCGGATCAACGCGGATGGGGGCAACTCTTGGGCCCGCTGCCGAGTCGGACAGCCCTGCATGACACACGTCTATGGCGCTGCGCTCCGGTATGCCCTCGAGGGTGAGGATCGGCTAAGGCCCCTAGTGAGGCGGTCAGAGGTTCGTCCCCTAAGTTAGGTCGTTTCTATTGTTACATTTCGCAGTTGCCATTTTTCATCATTAAATTTGATGATGATTGATCTTTGCATTTGCCATGTTAAAAAAGGTTTTCTTTAACCATTAATTCCTCATGTGGGTCATAGTAGCAAGATCGTTCGTGTCGTGAAAGAACCTAGTTGCTCAATGATCATTACTCCTTCCGGTAGCCTCGAACGAGGGCATTAGGGCCTTGGTAAACGTTGCCCGCTGGCAGGTCGAAGAGTTGCGTAGGAAGCCCTTCAAATTTCCTTTTGTCGCGACGCGTCGTAGGCTCTAAGGACTCCGCCGATGCGCCTAGTCAGTTGAGCCTGAGAACGGGTCCGACACCATCTACCTAGGTTCTGCCGTCCACGTTTCATCACGATCAGGTCACTGGAGACCTCGCAACGCTTTCAAGAGCACATCGCACAAATATAGCCCTAAGAAATTTTGCATTCATGTGGCTCCAGCCCTGGCACTTCAAGATAAAGGATAAAGGATAAAGCATTTGCCGTTGATCAATCCCTTTTTGGGATGCGGCACGCATTCTACTTCCATTTGTACATTCGTAGTGGCGTTTGAATGCGATGTGGCCTATACAATGACTTGCGGGGCCAGCCGATGTACAAGTCAGTGTTTTCCTCCCAGACAAGTCTGGTACCAATTAACCGACCCCGGAGGGATGGAAGGCTTGGTTGGCCCGGGCGACTCACGACCCAGGATTTGATCCCCGGACCGCTCGCGTGGTAAGCGTGCCACTTGCCACTACACCACTTCCGCCCAACGCTATCTTTACATAAGAAGTATGTGTGGAAAAAAGCTGCATTAATCACCCACAAAGCTGATATTTGCATTCGCCAAACTTTTACCCGAACTCTTCAATTCGGCGGCATACCATGCTCCTAGCGATACAAGAAACAGCAAGGCTCTACCAAATCAACGATGTTTGTTAATGGCAACGAAGGCACCAATTGGGTTCTTGCTGGCTGAGAGATGGGAAGGAAGAAGAGGTAATGAAGTTAGGCGACCATGCGCTGATGCGGTACGAAAAAACGGCAAAGAAGCGAGCTTTAACGTCAAGAGAGCTTTCATCATATCGTAACCTTACAACGTATGTATACGGTGTCTTCTAAGGTAATCGTGCATTCAACAACTAGAGTCAAGATAGGATCAGCGGAAAAGAAGCTCGGTTGAAATCTTGGCCAGGATTCAACTGGTGTGGCTCTTGCACACGAATGTGAATGTATTGGTGCGAAGTGGGCCGGCAGTGAAGAAAAAAGGAAAAGAATCCGTCGAAAACGCTCAGGTTGAGGGCTCACTCACCTTCCTAATCGGCTGTGCTAGGGAATGAGAGACTAAGCGCGTAGAGGAGAGTGTGAGGGCGCCAGACAACAGCCTGATAAAAGAAAAAAAAATCTGCAGCTGCAGCAGCTCACTTTGCAAGGCCCAAGCGCTCTTGTCGGTTGGTTTCCGTGCACGGGAATGCCACATTTGTGATTGTCCTCTAGGGTCTATCCTACAGACCGAAGGAATCGTTCACACACTTCCTGCCTGGGTTGTGCCTTTAAGCGCAATAGCCAACACCGTGCAGATGAATGGGAAATCAAAACCTACTGTAGAAAATATCAAGTAACGCGATATGCAGCGAAATTTTCCGATGATGCGGAAATTTCTGCACACATCCATTGATTATATAATACTTGGGATTCTAAGTAGTGCTTCCGTTCCATTTCAGTTATTTTTAAGAAAAACGTTGAATAACCTCCAATCCTCCTCTGAGACCTCGGTCCATGTATTCATTCATGTGAGACATCAACCGTCGCAGCGTTTCGTTTGACAGTTGGAATTCATCCATCACGGTTTCCAGCTAAAATTAGAATGACTGAGCAAAAATCAGTTCCGTTCCGCCCGCAAGTGTGGGTCACACGATATCTTTACTATACTAAAGGGTGTCGCAGATGTTCGTGCGTTTTGCCGACTTTTTTCATTCGCTTTATGCAAATAACAAGCAATATCTATCGCCAATATATACACCGTAACTATCAATGACCTTTTGCCACCCATTGACCAATAGTGGACGCCTTGCGCGTCTATTTCCAGTTAGGGGGGGGGATTGCGGTGCACAGTCTGCTCTAATGCCAGTTTGGCTCAAGGAGTCCTTTAAAGTTACGAACTGCTATCAGCTTTTTCCTACGTTGTTTCTTCTGGTTTTTTATGTAATGTATGTGTTCTTGTGTTTTATAACACAAACGTCTACGAAAAGTAATATTCACCTAGTGAGCAGCTTGGACTAAGCTTCGGAAGGGAGGAAGTCTCCACCCAGGAGAAAGCAGAGGTTGCTCACGAACCCGAGGGTTTTCCCTCCCTTCTAAGGCTTCGTCCTAAACCTTTACACTAGGAGAGTATGCTAGCCATGGTTCGGAACACGTTGACGAGATTCAGCTTCCGAAGAGAAACAAACTTATGAAAACCACACTCTATGGACAATCGAAGGTAATGGCGCGGAGCCAAAGGCGGGGCATGGAAAGAAGTCGCCTTGGGGCGCTACGTATCAGGCGACGCAATGAAAGAATCGGGTTAAAGCGTGCGATTTTGGAGAGTAGAGACAAATCGATCGATAGAATAGGATGCAGTAGAAGTGTGAGTGCAAAAGTCAAAAGGCAGAAAGAGTTTCTAGTGAAGGCACTCCGAGAACCAAGTGGAAGCATTCCCGTCGCCAGCATTTGTGACAGATGTCGGCGGAAATTTGAAGGCGTAATAGCCTTTTGGGTTTTTTTTATTTGTTTAAAACGAACACAATGCTTTTGTTCTGTTAGTTTCGTGGATGAGGGTGTTCTGAGGGCATCACTCGACAGATATAAGCGTTTGGTGGTTCATATTTTGATTAGCTCATTCTTTGCAGCAAGTATCCTACTATATATAATTCGCTAAGTATGTCTGTCCGGGGTGCGAGACAAGAGTCCCCCTGAGGTCGCCGCGCAAGCGAAAGTAGGTCACCGCACGCGGCGGCTACCGGTCCTTACAAGTTGGAACGTGGCAATTTGCTAGGACTAAGCAAAAACAAATGCAGAAATGGGGACTACACAGACGGAACAAAAAAGTGTTGTATCGATCGTCTAGAGAGGCGGGTCCTAAACTTGGCAATTGCCATGTTTCAAACTGCAGAAACGCCGGCGACGTCGCGCGCGGTGACCTAGTTTTGGCGCGGCGGTCGTAGGGGGACTCTTGACCGTCTCCCGTCTGTCTGTGTGGGTGTATGTGTCTGTCTGTACGTACGTCCGTCTGTCACGAAATTCATAGCGCGCTTCGCTGCAGGCATGGAACGCTGTATTTTGAGTATGTGTAGGGGGTGGGACGGGAACATATTTGGTGGGGTTTAGAAAGTGATAACGACTGATAAGATCTGATAAGAGGCGCCAAAACGCCAATTTCATGAT